CGGCAATACTTGGTTCAGGAAACTCGGGTGCATTATCATTGATATCGAGCACTTTTATGCGCACTTCTATTGGATACGTGGGCTGCGATGAGAGTACCACAAGGTCATAATGACTTCGCATACCCTCACGATCTAGCACGACATTTGTCTTAACTTCGCCCGTTATCTGGTCCAGTGTAAACTCACGCGGAGGCTCATTAAATCGATAGGTAAATTTGGGCTTTGTCGGTATAAAACCAACGAGCGTGCCGCGGGGCTGCCCCTCGAGCACTTCAAAATCGGCGCTAGTATCGACAGCGCGGGACTGCATCTCTCCCGCTGGCGAGGAGCTGCGGCGTCTTGGAAAGGCGGCATATTGTTCATACGTTGTGGCATAGCTACGTCCACGAGGCGCAGACAACTGTAGTGTGGATGCAGCCTCCGTGGCTTGGAATAACACAAACGTAGTTACCACGATCAGGTGCAAAATATTCCCCCTTCGTTGCCCGTGGACAGAGAGAAGCGAGTGCATCTTCTCTATGAACCTGAAAAGGCTGGATGGAATTCGCAGATTGTCATCCATTAACATTTATGTTCACTTTTTATTGTTTTCATTAGCAACGTGCTTTTGATATTTTAATGGTGTTCTATTTGTGTAATACTCAAAACACGTCATTTTCCAGATAGCTTTGGATATTATAATCACCTGAAAAGTAAGAAAAAAAGTCAAAATTACAATCGGAAAGCTATAGAATTGCATCAACACTAGTCTTAAATAGAAGTATAAACAGCAGGGAATTTCTTATTGGATTATCACATTTACCAGACTTACGAATCTAAATTATTTATAACCAAAGCGAACTTAATTAGTTAATCATGCTTTCATGCTAACATTTTCAGTTAACAATTTCGTGCCTCTACGATCACTGAGCATTTTAACACTTTCATACTTCGCCAAGCATAAAAATACTACTTTGCTTTTATGGTGTTCTGAAAAGAGGAGAAGATGCATAGTATGGCATATATATATATGAAAAGCAGAATGCTAAAATAGTTAGATCGGTATTTACATATTTCTTTGCTCACATGCATAAGCTTATATTATTATTATCAATGAAACTCTACCAAGCCAACAAAAATGTTGAAATATTTTATGAACAAAAAAAAAAAAAATAAAAAAACAACAAAAGTGGAGGAGGGGCTTATGTTTCTCACCTAACTAGCAATACTTTGCTAGCATTCTTTTTGTTTTTGTACGGAAAAAATATATATTTATACATCTATATACCAGCACGAAATGGAAATTTTTGTTTCAACCTTTCTTCAATGGAATCCATCGTAAATTTGTTACCCCTGATTTGTTGTTGTTGTCCAAATCTTTGAAGCCGAACCCGTTCATTAATCTTTAAGCCCCAATCTATGGGAATGGTTGTCTTTGTTCTGTCCCTAACATCATTTTTCTTTTGTTTAACATCAAAATATTTTAGTGATTTGAATAATATACATGCATACCTTTAGACGTAGGTGTGTAATAGACTTATATACTTAACTTGTTCTTGATACTGAAATATTAGGATGTAACTCTTGCTTATAATTGATATCTACCTTTATGTTTATAGATAGTTATGCGGGCTATTTTGAAGAGCTCATAAATACCATATCTGTACTAGATTGAACTAACCATTTGCAATGCAAATTATAACAAAAGAGCAAAGCATAGACAGAACCTGGCTAACAGTCTACCAAGCCGCGGGCCATATGGCCAAACTAAAAATTCGTAAGGAATAACCACGATAGCCAACTGGAATCAATGCGCGTCGCTATGAGGCGCCTACAAGTTGGGATATTCAAACACAAGCGCACAAGCGCTTGGTCTTTATTTTTATTACTATTTTCTTTCTTCGTGCTTTTCACTTTATTACCTCGGTTGGCTAGCTAGCAAGCTCTGATGAAGGAAAACGTGTTTTTCATATTTCCATATTCATTTACATTTCGCTTTTGAGCAGTGCGCATGCCGATACCTGCCATAAATGATTTCTTCTTGGACACAATGAACAAAGATTATTTATTTATAAGAAAAGGTATTCTTTTTTTCAAATCTCTGGCAATACAATTTAGTATATTACGTGACAGTTACAAGCTCCACTCAATTCAGTGTCCCAGCCTCCGACAACAAAAGGCGTCAACCTTTACAACAAAAACTGCCCACTTTGCTGTTGATTTATAAAAATTGAACAATTAATCTTGTTTGAGTTTGCTGCGTCCAGTTCGTTTTACTACCTATTCCCTGAGCTTTTATTTCTTTCTTTTTTTCTATTCACATCGCAAAGAAATGATTTTTAACTGTCTTTTGAGCCTCGATTCATCTTAAGATATATACTTGAGAAATTGCACATCTTAAAAGTATTTTTTTTATGCACTTAAACTTTTCAGGTTGTTTTGCTGTCTATTTCATAATTTCATATATCTTTCTCTTTCTTCGATTCACATCGGAAATACCTGACATATGACTGCCTTTGAGCCTTTTTTATATTAAAATATCTTAGAAATATCTTATGTATGTACTTAAACTATTCATAGATTATAAATACTCACCACTTTTGTTCACATTTTAAAATGAGTTTTGTGATAGATAGCCTTGTTGATATTAGTTGATCTGGTATACATATAGTATAAATACGACACGCGCACACACGAAAACACAAATGCAACATCGTCGTCAGCGTCAACAGACGCAGCATATTTTTTTCAGCAAAACGTGTTTTGCTTCATTTCAGCTCTTGTATTTGCTGCAGTGCGGGCTGCAACGTTGTTGGAATTTTTCACTTATAAAAAAATACAACGACAACAGACACACACACACACACACACAGGCACAGCTCAGCGAGCGAGATGTGGTATCCACACTTAATTTACCAACTGCGTTGGATCCGATTTATATTATTTCTATGTGCTTATATTTCGATGTGACATATATATATATATATAAATATATATATGTATATAGATAATTATAAAGCATATATATGTATATATATGTATTTATAAAGCATGGGTTAGATGTATCAAGGTAACTGTATTTGTGTGATCGAACGAAACCTTCACTTTTGTCTAGCGTTTTACGCGCACACGTTCCCAACTGCCACTCGCTCTGTGGTCGCAACGTAACTAACTGGCGACTGGCGAGAGCTGCGAGAAGAACTCAGACGCAGGCACCACAAAATTATGAACATAGCAACCAGGCCAGGCTTCGAAAAGCGGCTTGACAGGTTTAAGCCGAGAGGTTCAGACGGGTGGAAAGGACGGAAAAAAAAGAGAGAGAACGCGCGGCTCTCCCGCTCGTCATAAACGTACCAAATGTGGTAACTTGTCTTATTGTTGTTGCACAGCCTGCACACTTTTCCCCCTGGCTGACTCTTTTACCTGTGCCTCTCATGCACAGGCACAACATAGACACAGGCAGTGCTAGCAGCAGCAGAGCCGCCGCCGTCGCATTGCCGTCGCCCGCAACATATTTTTCACTTGTTGCAGTTTCGTTTTTCATTTTCTTGTACTAAAACGTTTTCAGCTCCAACTTCAGCTCCAGCTCACGTCGGTATGCTCGGCTTTTCTCCGTCCTCCTGAAAATGCTCGTCGTGTATGGGCGAGCGCGCGCCTTTTCTCTATGAAACAAAAATTGGCTTGCTTGCACTGGCAACTCAGCAAATACGTGAGCTCCGGCCCGCATTTGTGTGCAAGCGAACCCAACAAGATTCAATAGCCACCGGCGACCCATACACAATAAGATTAAAAATTACTTGGCTGCTGCTCCCATGCCCACTCCACTTGCCGCTGAATGTTGCTGCCATGCTGTTCACTCGGTTTAGTTCGCCATGGCTGGCGTGACTCAGGGTCTCCTGACTCTCGCGCCTTTGGGAACAAGAAATTGTTTTGCTTTAGAGGTAGCTTTAGTTCTATGGCTGCTCTCTTCGGAGAGGCTCTCTTCCAATATTTCGTCTCTTGTGGGTAATTTTTGGTTTGGCTTACCACTTCTTCTGCTTACTTGGATCTGTGCAGTCTTCGGCGTTCGGCTGCGCCGCAGAATTTTTGTTTGGCATAGAAACTGGTTTCAAATTAAAATTATCGCTGGTCATTTTTCTTATGGTTAGTTGTCGTTTACTTTACCGCTGTTGCCTCTTTTTTTGTTGTTTTTGGAATTTCGACCTGCGTATGCTTCCCTTTTGTATTGGCGTGAACTAATGTATGCGTATGCCTCCATGTATGTGATGAACACTGGACACCACATACTAACTTTATATGCTAGTGTGAAGCTCTTGCCATAGAGATTGTTGGTTCACAGGTAGTCGAAGGCTCTCTTTTATATAGCACAGACATAATCAGCATATTTTGGGGGGTGGCAATACCTGGAAACACAAAACAATTGGTTTTTTTTTAAGAGGTTCAAGTTTGTTTCCTAAGTCTTATGTTTTTGACAAAATGACGTGCGAAACGGGATCATGTTGTTTGAATATAAGCAAATGCTTAAAGCAGCCTGGGTAGGCAGCCAAAAACGAGCACTGACTGGCTCGTAAAACTGTAACTTAGTAAAAAGCGCATAAGACTTTAGCCCGATTTATTGTATGTTTATGAACTATTCTGGTCAAACGCAGCCAGGCGGTCAGCTTGCAGGCCGGTCTGGTCACATTCTTATCTTTGAGAAATATTACAATAACACGCGAAGTCCAGGCCAGCCAGCGTAGTAATGTGATGCTGTAGCTGCGATTGGTGCCCAAAAAGCGTGGCCAGTAAAAAAATATACAAAAAAAAAAAAAAACAAGAATAAAAATAGCTTTAGCCTGCTGGCCTCGGCCAGCCGGTACGAGCAGTAGTTGTTGTTGGTGTTATTTCAGAGCGGAATTCGAGCTTTCTGTTAATACTTTAATCGCGACTGCTGAGTATGTGGGCGCTGTGGTTACAAAGCCGCTATTAAGTCGAGACTTGGTGCGAATTTACAATTTCTATTGTGAATGCAAGTGTACATATGTGCTTGTTTTGCTCTTAAGGCTCTAACTTTGTTAGTTTATTTAGATTTGTTATATAAATATTAAAAATAATATGCTAAAAGAAGCGGATCAACGAAAAATAAAATAATATATGATTTAAGGCTAAATAGAACGCTGGAATAAATGTGCCAGTAGTTCTGCTTCGCTTAGATCCATCTTATACTTTTGGACAATGTCCTGCACCTTCAGACGGCGTCGCACATGAGGTGGTTGGTAGCTGCAAGCAATATAAAAATTAGACAAACTCTTAAAGATTATATAGAAAACTTACTTATCATTATCCAGACGCCTACGTCGCGATATATTAAGCGCCGTTTGACGTACCAAATTACCTACAACGCGCCGACTAAGTACCATGCCATCGACTAATGGCGTTGCAAAGCTCATCCGACCAGGTGGTCCTTGCAGTTTCACTCTCAGTAAACCAGACTGAAGAGAATGCAGAAAGATCACATGACAGTCGGCTGCTCTCGGCAACTGCATTGACTGGAGCTCTTCACCAGTGCGTGCGTAGGCCAGAAGATCTTCGACGGGAAAGTTCAAATAATCCTCGAAGCTCTCTAGCCAGACAAGGAAAATCTTTGCTGGCGCTTGGACGAGAAGGGCAGGCTTAGACACAGTACCTTTTCGTCGCGTGGGAGGTACTGGCTCCTTGTTTCTGTTATTTGCATCTAATTCTAAGCTGAGATTTCTCGGCTTGGATTTAAGAGAACCAGCATCGTCCCCACGTGTCCAGACATTGCTCATTGTGCTTTGATCACTGCAATTACTGGACAAGCTGCAGGCGTCCATTTCGCTATTGTAGCGAAGATTCCAAGCATTAGGCACTACAAAAGCAATCTCAGATGAGACATCCGCCCAGTAGAGCACATTCTGTGCACCATTATAATTAGATTCGCTGGACACGTTTGATTGGTGACGTTCCGTCTGTATCGATGTACCCTTTAGCGACCACGAATTATGTGCGAAACCCGTCCAACCTGAGTGCTCAGCCACCTGAACCGGCCACCCCAACGTCTGCAGCATATTGGCAAAGTGTGAGTCATACGAGTGATCCTCGGCCATGTTACCAATGATCTGTTGTGAAGTAGTTTGACCCGCCTGCAGATACACAACGAATGACGATAATGCAAAGATAAAACGTTAACAGAACTCATATAATCAATAAGTTCCCAACAAACAATTTGGATGCGGCTCAATTCGATCGCCAAAAACGCCTTAATGATTCTCACCTTTACATAGAAACAGTAAACAGTATCATGCGTGCGGGCGCTGAGCTTATCCAGCTTATCCAAATCCGTAGCAAAAGCAGTTGATTTTGTGTCAAGCACGATAAGGGGTCTTTGCGGCGGACCTAGTGACTCAACGGGGTTGTGCGGATCGCGGATCTCGAAGCTAAGAAATCCGAAATGAGAGAGAAACAAGCGAGCTGCATGAAACTCATGGCAGACCGTGGGCGGTACACATTCCTGAGCATGCGACAGACTATCGATGCTATTGTCCGATTCGGCCCAAGCCAACTTTTCGTGTATACTTTGATTTTCAAGCATTGCCTCCAGCTCACTTATGACGTTGGCGCCATACTGCTCACGTATCTGATCAATCGTTGGTATTGAGTAATCGGCCACACAGGGCTGAACTTTGTCAACGCCTTCGGGAAAGTTTTTTTGCTCGCATTCGGGACGTTGCGTGATATCGTTCATAGGAATGGGCCGGCCGGGATTGACGGCATGGTACTTTACACCCGACTTGCTGCGCGGCAGATGGCGCAGCTGCATTGTCCAAGCATGTCGGCCAAAGGGACCACGTATAAGAACTACGAGTGGATGGACTGAAGTTAATTAGGAAAATAGGTGGACAAACTTTACTTACGAGTGACAGTTGGTTGCGGGTCCTGATCATTACCCAAAGGCTCTTCCAGCAAAGCCAATATCGTCGAGTTTTCCGTGACGAAATATTTAAACTTCGAGATGGCTTGTTCTGCATTGCATACGCCGGCTAAACCGTCTCCAGTCGGGAGCGAATTGCAGTGCTTCATAAGAGCCAGCTCATCCAAGAGCGAAGATATAGATTCCGGTCCACACTCGCTTGGAAAGTAACCAACCTGTTCGAGTATGATGGTGAGAAGATTCTCTGCTGCATCGCGCACACGCATCGAGGCTGGTTTAAGTTCTTTTTCATCTTTAAACTTAGGTAGATCTCCATTTTTGCTCTGGCTTTTTGTGCCTGATATACCCAACTCGACCACCTCAAGCACCGTCTGCAAGCAGTCTTTATCCTGCAGGAGGTACGGATGCTGCATAAGCCAGGCTGCCGTGCACTGGAACGCCGCCACTATTGTGCTGTGCAGATCCTTACTGTGCGCCGGCGGAGGTCGTGAGCACTGATAGCAAATATAGTCGCATATCCACTTCACTGCGCGCTTGCACTCTAGAGCGTCTGTGGAGATTATCGTTATATTTTGACTAGGTTCGAATATTTTCACTAATGAATCTAAGATGTGTAAGTACAGGTGGTTTTGATTTGGTTATTTACATAGTTTCCGAAAGAAATTAAAACACGAACATACAAAAAGATATAAATATAATTATTAATTTTAACAATTACCGCCGCATGTGAGTGAATGAAATTGTGTTGAGGGTTGAAATTGTTAGAGTTTTTAAGGGTTTCAGTAAAGAAAAATAAAAAGAAAAGAAAAAGAGAGATGTACATGTTGTTAATAGCAATAAATTACCATTTGTTATTTTCCTGGCTGCAATTTTGTGTTTGTTAATAATTCAAAATAGGTGTTTATGTGTGGATTTTTAAACGAGGATCAAATAGGAAATAGAAAATTCACAGACAGATAAAGACATTAAAATATCGAAACAAATATTCCGAGCCCTCAATACAATACCTGTTTCGCGGATGTGGAGCCGCGCCAGACCTGACAGTAACTCTAGAGCTGCTAGTGAAACGTTCAAGTCGGTCTTCCACGAAGAGATTAACCGGTGACACACCAAATATGTGGCGCGTACAAACAAGGCATGTGCGTTGTCTGCAAAATTTAAAGGAACTCTCAATTATACAAAATTTTAAAGTGTATTCACTATAAAAAAGCAATCAACAAAATACAAAAATTAAAAACATGAGACGCAAACTTTACCATATGATGCAACGCTTTCAAACTCGTGCGTAAACTCCACCGATATATCATCGGATATGGTCAGGCTGGGATAATCGTGGGCCGAACCTGTATCACGCGAGCTCATTGCTGTGGTTTGTGCGCCAAAGCTGACCGTGCCGCTTGCTAGCGAAGCGGAACGGTCCGAGCACGCTGAGAACACAGCCACAACGATATCAGCAACAAAAACAAAATGCGAAATAAATTAAAATAGTTAAGTGAAAAATTAAACAAGCGTAGGTCAAAGACGCTTTTCAGAGTCTGCTTACCGGAACTTAGTAGGTTTTCTTCATGGTGCTGAACACCGGGGCCACTCAAATGATCTGTGCCGCCAAGCTCAGTGTCTTCAAAGGTCACTGCGTCCTGTACACAGAGCAAAAGTCCGCCTAATAACATATGCGTGTTTTGGGCGTCAGTTTCCACCTGCAGCGCGTTCATCAGAATGTTCATGAGTCGAGATTTGAGTTGTAAGAAGGTCAAACCCCTTGAGAAGATTAGGTAAAGGTTAGTTTTAAACACTCTGGCCTATGACTGGCTCGTTAGCTAAACTTACTTCTCGCCAGTGTCAGATGTCAAGTTTCGTATGGGCAGAGTATGATAATGCAGCGGAAGCACCATAATGGAGAGTAAAATGTTTATTGCCGATCGACGCAGCTCGGTCCGGTTGAATGTAATTGCTTGTGTCTTCAGCTTCAAGTCCTTATCTGGTAGTACGATTTCTAGCGCGGCTATAAAGCCAGGTAGTAGCACATTGATACCATCCAGGTCTAAGCGGAACAAATCTGCCGAATGGAGCAGAATGCTGGCCAATGTTTCATCGCACTCTTTGGACTCGGTTATCTTGAGGCATTGTTGCAGTGCCATATAAAAGCGCGCTAAATACACCGGCAGAATTTCCTCGCCCGTTTTTTTTGCGCAGAAAATCTTGCAGAGGGTACCAATTGCCTCGGCGCGTCCAGATTCATATTTATCAATGGTTAGCGTGGGCGGCAGCGATGTAGGATCATTAAGCGAATTGGGTTGGGACAACGATATCGAGCCCTTGCGATTCTCCATTATCATAGACGAAGGTCGCTTGCTAGCCTCGCATGCTTGTTCTGAAAACTCAGTTATTTTTTTCACGATAGCAACAGTAAGCGATCTTTCTGAGTACTCACTTTTACGATTCTGCAGCCAAGTGTCGCCGCCTATGTGCGCTGCCTCGAACAGCCACTCACCGAATAAGTGCAGAATGCTGTTGCACTTCGGTCGAGCTACAGACAGCGGCGGGCGTAGCTCGGTACCAATGGATGGCAGCGCTGCGGGTAAAAAGAATGGCGTGGGGAAACAATTGTTGAGAGAAGCGGCAAGTGTGTTTTCTTTTTCACAACACTCACAGTTGATGCTGCTGGATGAGGGTGGACCTGAGGTCGGCGTCGTGGGGGCGGCGTTCGCTGAGCTGCGTGTTAGGCTGATAAGCGCGGTTTTGCTTAAGCCTGTAAAGTGTGTGGGAAGGGAAAGCGTGTGAGAAATTAGTAGATGAGCTGGTCGAGGAGAGTTAAGCATACACATACATTCAAACGTGCAGCGTTGTGATTTAATTGTGGGCGTACATTATATAAGCTACGTAATATTATATGGGAGCGAATAATTAATGTTACGAACGTATATACTTACTATATATGCATTATGTGCGAGCGTAAAAAAAATAATAAAAAAAAAAAATTCAGGCAATATTATGGGCGTAGAAACCAAATGAAAACTGACGAATTGTCAAAAATGCAACATGTGCGGGCTTTCAAAAGCAAACTTCGTAGAACGTCAATCGTTCAATCGTCTTGCAAAAACACAAAGCTCAGTTAAAGTATACCATGCTTTAAATTAACAAAAGCAAAACAATACAACATGGGGTCTATTAACAAAATCGCACCCTTCTGCTGCGTAATGGACGGCGCCACACTGAAACTCTTCGCCAATCGTCGCTGCAAAGGTGGTGTTGGTGTCACACTGTTGCTGCCATTCGAGACTGTCAATGGCATTGCCTCAGACGCGCTGAATGAGATGCAGCCGACCACGCCAGCAGAATGGCTGCCGCCAGCACTTATGCTGCCCACTGGGCCTGGAGGAGCGATCTGGCAATAGTTGGTTGGAGAAGCGCTACAGTTGCTGCTTAGGCCATGCTGCCCCTGAGGCTGTGCCGCCTGCTGTTGCTGATGTTGGTGGTGGTGGTGATGATGCCCCATGATGGCGTTTAAGGCAGAGCTTGCCGAACTGCTGACAAAATTATCGCGAAGGAAACTACCAGCACCATGTAAATGCAAATGCGGATAGTGGTGATGATGATGCGGCTGATGGGACTGAGTTGCCCCTGATTGCTGTATGCTAATGTTTGAAACGCTGCTCGAGTGTATGAACTGTTGTAGCGTGGATGAGGTAGCCTCGTTTAAAGAGTGGCGTATCTCAAGCAGATTTGTGACGATGTTGTCCTGCTGGTTAGGCGGTGGCTGATAAATGCCTGTGTTGCGGGAGCGACCAAAAAGTGGGTTTAAAGATGATTATAGAAGCGAGAATTTTAGGGGAAGGTACTATGCTAACTATCACACGTAAGCTATAGAGGACAGCTCCACGTCATGTCTGAGAATCTCTTACCTAAGAAGGCATCTACTTGGCTGGAAATACCCCTGATTGCATTCAAAAAGATTTGTGGTAACATTTGAAGGCAAGGATGCTGATGTGTCTCAGCGCCTTTCTCGTGCGTTAGAGCCCATTGAACGAAGTGCGACGATTTACTGATAATGTGCGGCGAGCAGAACGCCGTGGGATTGCCAATCATGCGCAAAAACCGATACCAAGTTTGTGCTACACAATCGTTGGTCATGCCCGCGGGTATAAGCTGGCCATCCTCGTCGCCAACTAAAAAGAAAACCATAAATGTATTCAATTCATAACTATCTATAAAATCTGCTCCTACTTACCATTTTTAAGCTGCGTAAAATCCGGGCCGTAGCTAAACTCCAACAAGCGCGCGGTCAGGGCCAAATTCACACGGTTCCACTGATCAACAAGTGCAATTCGATGGCGCCACATGGCACACGACTCTTGCAAGGTTTTCCACAAGGAGGGCGATGGAAAACAGCGGACACATGCCAAAAGCCAAACCTCGAAAAGCACAGAGAGCACGCGTTCACAGAGTTGATCGCCAACGTCATCCTTGACAGTCGGTGGCGCCAGCAAAATCTCATTGATGGCCAACAAAAAGAGTAGTAGCGTGTCCCAGGTCTCTCGATCCATGTGCTGCGAAATTTGAGCTGTTTGCTGAAGGGTGCGCAACACGCGATGACATAACACCGCCTGACGCTTAATGGTATCAGAGCCTATAATAAATAAACATACACATTAGAGCGATGAGTATGGATGTTCAAATTTATCCAAGGAGCACCTACCAAGCTTCGTTTGGTATAAAAATGGCAAGACTTGAAATTTAGAATGCAATAATTACAAATCGCAGATAAATGTGACTATACGTGTTTAAGAATGCTATTTAAGAAGCGGCTAAACCTGAAATAACATTGAGCATCGTTCAGACTTACTTTCTCCCTGCCGCGGAACGAAGAGGTTGTGGAAATGATTAATTATCTGCCGCGCATAAAGATTCGCATCTTCACAAATGGGCTTGGGAACGCTGATTCGTGGCTGTGGGTGCAGCGCCGTCAACCATTCGCAGTAAACATTGACACAGTCTTTGATGGTCTCATGCTCCTGCAGCGGCAACGAAAGACCAAAACAAATGACGTCCATGCACCATCTGACCTGTTATGGGAGCGAGGATAGCTTGCAAATGTGGTGGAATTCAATTTTTAGTCAGACATACCTCCTCATCCTTCACCAAGTGGCTGGGTTCCGCGTTCTGTGTTATGCCTAAATTGGTACCAAGTTGTTTTACAACCGAAATAACCACTTCTCGACCCGCAGACGCTGGAAACTTATTTAGCACACTGAAACATTGCGCTCCACAACTGTTGGCAGTAATCTGCGTCGACAGCGATGCCCACTCAGAGTACATATTTTGTTGATTGCCACACGCAGAATTTTCACTTTTTTATACGGGTACTAAATTCAAGGTAGTAAAGTGTAGACATGCACTCTAGCATAATTCATTACAATTATAGCAATCTCTTTTTATAGACTATTTAATTTAGTGTAAATCAGAATATAATATATTGTTGGGAGTTGGCAGCAATTGTTGAGTTTCGCTGAATATTATGTTTGGTTTTTTTCTTCTTAGTAAACAAATAAGTGTTGATCAGCGACTAGTGGATAGTGTTGTAAAACACGCCGTGATACTAGAGATATTTTCGAGCATTTGAGTAGGAATTTAAAAATGACGCCTCTTAAGTTTTAAATAAGATAAATAATAGATTGTGGATTTATTTTTTAATGTACATAGGGCGTAAAAAATTTGTTAACAGGTAACCAAACAGAAAAACAACATTTTAGGATTGAAAGATTTTAATGTTTTCTACTTCAATAAGAGATAGCTTTCACGTTGCATCCCAAGATAAGCATATCCAGATCCAGATCCAGCTGTGGCTAATAATATTAAAACAATATGTACGTACTTCTCACACTGAATTTATTTCAGTAGCCAATGCTATGGACCACCGTTGGCCCAAAAACAAACAAAATACACATACATACATATATAAATTACTGCTAGAATATGTTCGTAACTACGACGGGCAATTCACCGTTGACTATGTATACTGAAACTGATTTTTGCTGCATATATGTGTGTATGTACGCTAGTTCTTGCATACATATACAAGTATTATTATGTATTATTATAACTGCCGTTAAAATTGTTCTAACGCGCATGCCTGGATGCACGGCCATCTAATCCTGTTTCTTTTGTGCGGCTGTCTTTTTGGTCGGCGTGGAATCTGCCGTCGTTTTAGTGCCTGTGGCTGGGACACTGTCTGCACTGGGCGATGCTTCTATAGCGCCTGCCGGATGAGTGGCGCTGGCGTCACCTTCAAGGCGCTTGGTGGCAGCCTGCTCCTCCATTTCGCCAGAGAAGCCATACTCATTGACGCGCTTCAGGTCGACGCGGTACTGCCAGCGTTGATAAAGGAATACGAAAAAGATAATGTCATCTCGGAAGCAGCCGATGCGGTACATGGTGGGCATTTTTATGACAAATGCGAATATGTCATCAATGAATGTGTTTAGGAATTTGTAGGTCATCATTCGCCACGGCAAATGGGCAACTGATTTTAGCTTGTAGTTAATGAACAGCTGTGGTGTCATCAGAATAAATCCGAAGGTCAACAGGTAGCTGTAAAGCATGTTCAACACAAAGGAGTACCAGCCCTTGTGCTCATTGTAGATCAGGGAATAGATAAAGTAGCCCACAAGCAATGGGAAACATGCCCAGCCCAGGTACTTAAATGCCAATCTGTCGTACTCTTTGGTGGAGCTCTCCGAGTACGAGCCCTTATCCTTGAAACTGATGCGCGGAAAGATGCCTAGCAGTTTTTGCTGGTTGTTGTAGTTAACATCGACAACTTTATGTATTTTCCATACCTCAATGCCGAGACCCACAAAGCAAGAGATGCGTATCATGAAGTTTGTTTCGTTATCCAGCACATACAGCAAAATGATGAGCGATTGAAACACGCCGAAAAACACTGATCGCACTGACAGTCCCTCGAGTGACTGTCGATTGTTCCAGAACTGTATGTCATTCTTGAAAGCCAGCAGCTCGAACACAGAATGGAGTATGGAAACGGCCACTGTGATTCCGAGCAGGTAAATGTTTGTGTCCAGAAGAGTTTCCTTCAGCGAGTCTTGGTCCTCGTCTGACTCCTCAGCCGCACCGGCTGCCATTATTTCACCCAGCACATTGCCAGCCCACTTACTTTTCATTTGCTTGGCGGCATACAGCTGCCACTTAAACATGCCTAAGGGCTGAAAGGTCAAATGTAGATCCAACTCTGGCGTTGACTCGTTGATGGGAAAGTATTCGCGCTGCAGGTTCCAATAGTCGTTGACGAACACAATCGGCAAATACGTTTTACCGCCATCCACAAACTTGACATATTCATCGAGCGGCGAGGGCACGCTACCTTGCGCCCAATTTGTCTGATCCACCACAAGATTAACGGTCAAGTTTGGATGCCAGTGCGACACGATCTGATCCTTGAGATTGGCGTGTTTCAGCTCGTGCTCCAGCTTTTCCTTCTCGCTGGCCAATAGGTTGTAGTTGCGATTCACACGCAGCTTCTTAAACTTATTAAGCTGGTGCTGCTGATGGCCCATATGACCATGTCTTGAGTATTTAGGCGATTGAGGATCTGGGCTTTCGCCAGCGCGCGTTACAAATGCGTGCAGAAACACACTGCCGTTGTTCAGCAGATGGGGGCTGGCTTTTATCTTGAGGTTGTGTGTGTAAATTCCATCACCTGTAGGTCCCGAGATCCAATCACCGTAGGTTAGATCCTCTTGCAACCATAGAAGATTGGCCTTTTGTTGGAAGTTCACCACGTCCGGCTGCTCCGAGAGCCAAACATGCAAATCAAAATCTGTGCCATTCTCGAAATAGTTCCATGCGGTTATTTTGGGACCAGCATTGGCGACTGACTGCTCTTGATTAGTGTTCGACTGTGGCCGCCGGAAGAAGGAACTTACAAAGTAAATTATAAGCGCCCGCAGAATAAGTGATTTCGTCATTGCGAAAAAAGACTCCGCTCGTGATGGCTGCTGCTGCTGCTGTTGGCCCTCGGCACCAGCCACCTACATTTTGGAATTGATGATATACAGAGTAAAGAATTCAATTATATTTAACATATATTTCACATACCGGCGCAGCTCCTTCCGCCGGCAAAAGGCCATCGTTGTTCGACATGTCGTGTACGTGTACTTAACGGAATAAACACACGTTTTTTTTACACAACTTTTCCGTGGTTGCCTAGATTTTGTTGAATTGAAAATGTTATTTAACATAACAGCCACAATAAACGAATAAAAGCCGAGCTGTAAATAACAGACAGAAAATAATTATTGCCTGGAATCTGTTATTTAACATAACAGAGGCTATACTATTACTGTTGCTGTTAAGGCCAGAAGAGTATCGAATGTGTTTATTTTACAGATTCAAAACTGATAAGCAACAGCGTTTAATGATTATCGAAACACTGGATATAAAATAATTAGAATAAAGAACATTTAGAATGTTGTCTGAGTATAGAGAGAAGCTTAAAATACAACACATAAGCAATAAATGTTTTATTGTTGGATTGCCAAGTGACAAATTACATGTTGTCCATAAATATATATCGATAGCTCTGCGACGGGCATCTAAAAGCTGTCTGATGCAAAAGCGCGACAGTGTTGTTCCATTTGCACAATTTTAATAACATATGCGCATGTTGTGTACACACTCTTTTCTTTTGTGAGTTAGCATTTGGTTGCACGTTTCTCTCGGTAAGTTGCTAAAAAAACTTAAAAGAAATAATAAAAAGTGCGGCGTTACCTTTGGCTGTGGTCCTGTAGTCTTATAAAAGTTAGATTGCATCGTTATTCTCTGTGTTCATCGTCGGATGGACACAAAAAATACGCACACCAGTCGCCTCTTGTTACCATGTCGAACCTAACCTCTTGCCAGCCATGAGACAACGTCGCACAATAAGCTGGAGCAATACAAATTTGAGGCATACGAGTGAATTTTCAATAATTTCTAATGGTTTTGATTGAAATACATCTTGCGCTTGCAGCAACGCTTGGAAAATGCAAATCTTTGTGAAAACCCTCACCGGCAAGACCATCACCTTGGAGGTCGAGCCCTCTGACACCATCGAGAATGTCAAGGCTAAAATCCAAGACAAAGAAGGTATTCCACCAGATCAGCAGCGTCTGATCTTTGCCGGCAAGCAGCTGGAGGATGGCCGCACCCTTTCGGACTACAACATTCAAAAGGAGTCGACTTTGCACTTGGTGCTGCGTCTGCGTGGTGGTATTATTGAGCCTTCGCTTCGCATTCTCGCCCAGAAGTACAACTGCGACAAAATGATTTGCCGCAAGTGCTATGCTCGTCTGCACCCACGTGCCACCAACTGCCGCAAGAAGAAGTGCGGACACACCAACAACTTGCGCCCCAAGAAGAAGTTGAAGTAGACACTTCCTTCTCCGATGCGAAAAAAGCTGCTGTGCGCTTTCGAAAAAAAGCTGTTTAGTAAATATAAATTTGTAATATAATCAAATGCGATTAAGAGCGAAATGTATTTACTTGCTATAAGACGCACCGTACATGCCCATGTGTCTGTTTTGTTGTGATGTTGAGAGGCCGGGACCAGGAACTGAATTTGGGATTGTGATAAAGAAAATAACAGTGTCTTGTAACTAAAATCAATGTATAATGTTCCTGCTAGTTGAAACTGGCTATCAAAAAGGCTTCTAGGCTTGGACTGTATCTACTTTCAACATGGAAACATCTTTTTGGATCCATAAGTACCTTAAGATACTTTGCAGTTTCTCAGTTGGTAACTGATATGGAACAAGTCGACTATTGCCTAGAAGTTATGGTAAGTTGTAAGTTCATAATAAAACGCCGCCAATTAAGTTAGCGTTAGTTTAATTAGAATGAGTAGACCTTAGAGGGTGGCATCTCCAAACTTAAGTATTTATTCTTGGTTAAATCAACTTCTTAGTTAAATTAACTATTAATATTCACCATGTCTGGATTGTTTAAAATCCCATAAATTATATATATTCTTGATCAGTATCAACAGCCGAGTCGATATAGCCATGTCCGTCTGTTTCTATGCGAAGTCACCCAGCTTTAACGCTATTGTCATAAAACTGCAGTAATGACTCTTTCTGCTGCACTCAGTACATATGTCGGATTCTGCTGTTTCGGACCGCTATATCATATAGCTGCAATAGGAACGATCGGTCGAAAAGTAGCTTCTTGTATGAAAAACTTTTTTGTTTAACAAGATATCTTGACCAAACTCGACATATATTTCGATATAAAGTGTGAACGTGTGATTTTATGAATGTATCCACACACATATATGTATTATGTATGCATGTGTATAAGGCATTTGTATTTTATTTGGAGGAAATCTTTTCGCGCAGATCGCTCATATGCATTATGATTTCACCCAAGCACAAATGTGTTGCGTTAGAAACTCAGTGTTTATTTGTGGTTCCTCAATAATTTTAGTATTCAAAGAAATTAATTTTTAACGGCAACAATATGCTATTGGTCAACTGTGGCTGCTGCCTGTGTTGTATTTTTGGCGTGCTGGCGTCTCATTCAAAATACATTAATAGGTATTTTCCTCGGGGTCAACAAAAACGTAAAGGGAAAAAAATGTTTTAAAAATGTACATGGTACATATTTGTTTTTCATTTTTGTTGTTTCGCGGACTACTTTTCGCTTCTGCACAGCTACCCCCAACAAAAGAAAAAAATAAATAAATAAAAAAAGGGTGCAGAGCTTGAAAGGCATTTTCAACCATCTTAATTTTGGGTGTCCATTTAACGCGATTTTGGGAACTTTTTAATTCTTGCATCGCACGTACTAGGCGTCGTCGCCGACTTCACTTTGTCTCTTAAGTTTGTCTTTGCGTTTTTTATGCTTTGGACGAAGTTTACATAACAGCTGTGACCAGAATAATTAACAATGCTCGTTGCCAAGTGACCCAAATGTTATGACCCCCAGGAGCAGGACGCGAGTAACACAAGGGGAAGCATGCAGATGCGCCTCTTGGCGTTAACTTGTGGGCGGCCCAAGTACATTAATATTGCAGAGCGTATCCCAGCGCGGCTGCCAGCCTCCCCATATTGTCCTTCATACGCATTAAAGAGCTTGTACATATATATACATAGGCACTGATAGGACTTACCTGCGCTACTTGTTTCATATTCATATGCGACTACCGAAGAAGTCCTACTTTTCTTCGTTTGCAGATAATTGCATTGCAGCTACAAGTCTGGGCTAAGGAGGCGGTTCAATGGAGTTGGGACAGCTTTGAGGCCCAAAAGTCAATCCAGCCCCACGTGCTCTTCAACGTGAGCTTTCAGCTGCTAACATTGAGTTTTATCGGAGATACGCACATACATACTACGGCACACAGATGCGTATGTACGTCAGAAGACGAAAGAAAAAAGCGAAGAAGATAGACATAAATGGGGGGCGTTAGCTCAGTTGCTACAAAAAAAGAAGCTGACAAAGATAAGACGTAGGGCGAACGTTTATAAATTGGTCGCTAGTGTGGGATCACATGGATAATAATGGAATGGAATCGTCGGTAGTGGGATGGTTGCTTTCTAGCGGCAATCAGCGTAGCCACCAATTTAGATGTCAGGAATTTAGGCGGCGTATAAGAAATGTATATAAATATTTTCAAAGGAACAGCACGCAGCACACGGCTTCCATTCGATACAAATGTGTTTTGTGAGGAAGCTCATGTAATTTAATATGCATAAATCGATACTTTTGCTGCGTACTCCGAGGCTGCCTTTACATTTACATCTACATACCACCCGCACGTCACACCCCCTTCCACGTATCCGCGCATTGGCGTGCTTCTGTTGTATTGTGCTGTTTGTATTCTATTTTGAGCGCAAAATTGTTATTTGTTTTTATATATGCCCTTTACAAGTGCGTGTGTATCCTTGCAATACACACAGCTACATATATATATATATATGTATACACCTATATATGTATATGCGGACCACACAAATGTATCTGTATCTGCGAGTGGAATACAATTGTCTGCGCCTTCTTTAGGGTTTGCATATCTACAAGTTATGTTTTGTCATACAGTTAACATTTTCCGCAGATAAGCACTTCTGGCACAAGGCGCTTTGTTGTATTGCAAATAATTTGAAAAGCCATTTTATTCAATTTCCATCGTACTTGGGAGCTTTGAGCGAAGGATACGAACTTAAACTAGCATGTAAATAAGCATTTTACAATAAGCTAAGCGGAAGCACTAAAACTAGACCGTCAGGCAGACGGGCAAACGGATAATCGCACAAGCAGCCAGCCCATTGGAAGGCATATTGATTTCCTTGATAAATACTTAATAAAAATCCACTTAAGTACTGGGCCTTAAGAGAGCCGTTTCACGAATCTATTGGCCCAATACAGAAAAGATTTATGACGAGTTTTTCCAACTGTCTTTTCGAGGCTCTAAACTAGAGAGAAACAGGATTAGATTCGACTTGTCGTGTGCCAATTTTAGCTATCAATAGCTTCCAATCAGCAATTGTATTCTACTTCCTCACTATTTTTTTTGAGTTCGGCTCACATTAAAGATTGATTAAATTTCGTGCTTTTTGAGTTATTCGCAAGCAATTATGGAAGTAGATTATTAACCAATTCACTTGAAAAACATAACCAAAGCATTTAATTTTGGCTCTGAGCAGGAATTGAACAAAATATAAGCTCACAAATAGATAGACTCGATGCATCTTTTATAGACAATTTTGGGCACTTAACACAAATTTGAATTAATAACAATGCAAACGACTTATTGGATGGAATGCACCGGAGCTGATGCTTCTGGGCACTTAGAAGATTTTCGGGTCATATATTGCTATGTTATATGCATAGCGCACACAAAATTGAAGGTATGTGCAAACTTGGTCAAAGTTTGGTGTTTCTAAAAATATTGACACGCAAAGTTTGTGCAATCACCAAACAAATTAGTTCATCAATTTTACAAAGCAACAAAAAAAGATCTTTTATAAAGTTTTCTACCGATCGGGCCCAGCCCTGTCGCGAAAATACGGAGTAGGCGAGCCGAACAAATTACACAGGCCATCTTTGCTCATGCCCGAGACACAGGCAGATGTTGGCCCATTGGCGACTAGGCCATTGTTGCTTGACACACGCACCAAGATTCAAATTTCTCCCCGAACACACTGGCATTTTGTACTTGGGCTAAAACACAAAAAAGCCAGCTGAACAAAAGTTGGCAACAAATTGCTTATGTTCTGACATAGACCCACACAGACACCCTAACAAATACACACAAATACACATAAAGAAAGCGAACAATATTCGTAGGCACTCCGAGTCCAGACATGCGCTGCAACTTGTTAATTTTGACCAGCTGTCCCTGCAGTAAACCAGCTATGCCGAGGTCGACGTCGACGTGGACGTCGAGGACGAGGACGAGGGCAAGTGTGACGACCAAGTTGTCGGTTGGTCGGTTGAACGGTTGGCTGCTCCTTTCCCTGTCTTACAAATGTACCTCTTCTGAGGCTAGACCCAGTTTCGAAGGATGCTGCTGGAACTTTAAATTGGCGCTTGGCAGGAAAAAAAATGCTACTTCTGCATAAATAAAATGCCAGAGATAGATAGATTGGCTGCCAGATGACCTGCCACGGCACTTGACTAAAAGCACGACAACAAATTACGATTGGGAGAGTAGCACTTGATTTTAGATTACGAGTGGATTGCAATGATATTCTGCCTGGCTTGTTTTATTTCAACAGGCCTTAGTAGCACCTTTGACCTTGTTGCACTTAATACTTATGTATGCACCCCTTAGTCCTTCCCACTACATACATATGACAAATATATAGAGGCATGCTTAAATATATGGCATGAATTTCGATTGCCGTCCAAAGCGAAGTTTACAGTTGATGAGGCCTTCTTTCGGGCTATTAAAAGTGCATACCGAATTTACATTTTATTTCGTTTACTCCGTTCTTGATGCTTTCAGTCTAAACAAATTTGGGCCCTTAAATAAAACAACACAAAAGTGAAACGGAAACAGGCTCCAATTCATGTTGGGGGCCACCCCACCCTTGATATTTCCTTAGCCTTTCAGCGAATGAAAAGTTCATTTAGGGGTTTGTTTTGTTTTGTTTTACTCGGATTGCTCGGGTGGCATCTTTTGACAGTACGTTTCGTAACCTGTAACATGCCTTGCATGTTCAATTGTGCTGCCAGCCTGAACTAAAGTGAAGTGAAGGGTATAAGCATGCGATACACATGTCTGCATGCACGTGTGTGCTGTGTCGGTATGTGTGTGTCTGTGTGTGTGTTCTCTCTGTGTGTTTCTGTGTGTGTCTCTGTGTGTGTCTGTGTGTGTGTCTGTGTGTGTGTGTCTCTGTGTGTGTCTGTGTGTGTGTGTGTCTTTGTGTGTTTGTGTGTGTGCGTGTATGCAGAGTTCGATTTTCACTAGTTGACAGCACTTATTTGCAAATTATTTGTGTTCGACCCGTACAACACTTCGTATGCATGACATTTAACTCGTTCCTACATATGTTTAAACGAGTTT